GGCCTTGGTAGACCTCAAGCTGAACATGAGTCAACAGTGTGATGTGGCAGCTAAAAAGACCAACACGATTTTAGGTTGCATCAATAGAAGTATAGTGTCTAGATCAAGGGAAGAAATAATGCCACTCTTATTCTGCTTTGGTCAGGCCTTACCTGGAATAATACTGTGTCCAGTTCTGGGCACCACAATTCAAGAATTGCTGGAGGGTGCCACTTTCTCCTTTGCCTTGGGCAGCAAAATATTTTGGGGTGGCTCTACCTCCTGTCCACCTTTACTGCCATTGCTGTTAACCTGCTCCCAGTTCTGTAGTCTAGCAGCAAATCAGCTCTTAAGTAAGGCAGTTCAGAGCTTGGTAATGTTACTTTTTTGGACTGCAACTCTCAGCATCCTTCAAACCAGTTGTGGTTCAAAAATGTACCCGGTTCCTGTTCCCACTTAATACAGTTCCTTTAATATTTCAGAACTTCCTACTTTTTGTTGTCCCTCTATTTCAGCTGCTTTTAAAATGTCCTAGTTTCTCTTTTCTCCTCCTCCTTTTGTCCTCAGCTTACTTTCGTTACAGCAAACTGAGTTCAAAGTGCAAAAGTAGTTTAAACTAAACTAAATAGCAGGTGGGAAGGAGAGGCAGAAATCTTGCCCTTCCCTGTAGCCTCTGCCAAAAGTGACTGCTGCAGTCTCTCCTGGGCTGCATCCGCACTGCAAAATTAATGCAGTTTGACACCACTTTAACTGTCCTGGCTCAATGCTGTGGAACCCTGGGATTTGTAGTTTGTTGTGGAACCAATGCTTTATGATAGAGATTAAATATCACAAAACTACAGTTCCCAGGATTCCTTAGCATGGACCCATGGCAGTTAAAGTGGTGTTAAACTGGATTATTTCTGCAGTGCGGATGCAGCCTCAGTTTTCATATGTTGGAGGGTATGCAGCCTTGTTTTATTTTAATTTTGCTGTTTTCTTGTCAGCAGAGGGTGGCAGAGGGCCGGCATGTCCACATCTATTTCTTTCACAGGCTGCACATGTGTTGCACAAAACAGCATTCTTGTATTATTATTATTATTATTATTATTATTAGTAGTAGTATTTTATTCTTTGTTTCTATTTTAATACTTACTATGGTAAGTTTTTAATTGCATCATTCTTTTAAATTGCAAGCTGCTTTGCATCCCAATTTTTTTAGAGAAAAGTGGGATATAAAAAAGAAAGAAAGAATATTTATTGCATGCTGCTTTGCATTGTTTCCAACTTATAGTGACCCTAAGGCAAACTTTTCATGGAGTTTTCTTGGCAAGATTGTTCAGAGGGGGTCTGCCCTTGCCATCCTCTGAGGCTGAGAGAGTGTGACTCACCCAAGGTCACCAGTGGGTTTCCATGGCTGAACTGGGATTCGAACCCTGGCCTCCAGAGTCCTAGTCCAACACTCAAACCATTACACCACACTGTCTCTCTTATCTATCTATCTATCTATCTATCTATCTATATTAACTTAGCAAAATTATATTGTTTAACTTTGCAAAATTATAAAAGGCTATCAAACCTGTTAGAAAAAGTGGGCAATGATTTGTTTCTTTCACTACCAGGCTGCGTAAAGTTACTTTTTGAAAGCAACTTGTCGTAGTTATCATTCCAGGTTCCTCTCGTAGTTAACTACAGTTGTCGTTGTTGTTGTTGTTGTTGTGCCTGCAAGTTATTTCTGACTTCTGGCAACCGTAAGGCCAACCTATAATGGGATTTTCTTAGCAAGATTTGCCAAGGGTTGCCATAAGTTGGAAATAACTGGAAGGCACACAACAACAAAGTGGTGGCAACAACAATCACATTTTCCCTTGTAGTGCAAAAACTCTAACCTATGGGACTCCTGGCCACAAGTATTGGGCCAAATAGTATTGGGCCGGAAAGCCCAATGGTGAGTTATTGCACAAGAGGGCAGTGGCTGATAATCCTGGACGTTCAAATGGATAATACTCATCTGAGCCTAGAAAAGCAACCCAGCAAGCGGTGGCTTCCTCCCCGGGTTCAGATGCTGACATCCACCCACCGCACACACCCCAGCCTTTTCCTGTGCCTTCGTGCTGTTGTTGTGTCGGTTGTCGTTGCTGCTTCTTCTTTTCTTCGCCTTCCCACCAACCCAGCCAGGAAATGGGTTTGAATCATGTGCTTTGAGCGCATGCAGTGAGAGCCCTCCAAAGCCTCCCCTTGCCGGGCACATTGGCACATCAGGGGCACCTTTGGGAGGCAGTCCGGTGCATGGAAAGGCTGGTACCTCCATTGGGTGCCGGCTCTTGACCTGGGTACCCTGCGGCCGCCCATCTTCGGAGGAGCAAGCCATGTTTTCGAGGAAGAAGCGAGACCTGATGAAGACCCCTTCCATCTCCAAAAAGTGCCGGGCAGGGAGCCCAGTGCCACCCTCGGCCTCTTTGGTGAGTTGTTGGCACAGAGCCATGGGTTTTTCATTGACGAAAAGGAGACACTGGGCAACCATGGTGCTGTTATCGCCTCCATCATGGTCTCAAGATGGCCTCTGCCAGCCTTCACACACCACCTGCCAACCAACCAGTGCCCATGCCACCTTTTGCCGCTGTTGTGGCTGTGTGCCTTCATGTTGTTTCCGACTTACGGCGACCCTATCCTAGGGTTTTCTTGGCAGGTTGCTTCAAAGGAGGTTTACCATGGCCTTCCCCTGAGGCTGAGAGACTGTGACCTATCCAAAGTCACCCAATGGGTTCACATATCCGAGCCAAGATTCGAACCTTGGTCTCCAGAATCATAGTCCAGTGCTCAAACCATTTCACCTCCTTCCTGTTGATTAAAACCTAAAGAAGGCCAGCTTATTTTTGCTTGAATATATTTGGTGGCGGGCTGTGGAATCAAGTGTTTTGTGTGTCTTCAAATGGCTTCCAACTTTTGGTATTTTATGCATTTCAGGTTGGTCCCATAAAGGTATCACTGTTTTGTGGATTTTGTATTTGATTATACTTTGGATTTTGGAGTATTTTGGATGTTGGGATTCCAGATTTTTGGCATTCCAGATAAGGGATATATCAACCAGTACACATTTTTTTTAAATAGCAGTGTGTTTTAAAATTGCTTTTTAATGCAGTTGTATTTTAATATCATAATGTGGGTTTAACAGTCATTGTTTGTACCTGTGTTTTGTTTTAATTTTGGCACACGACACCCTGAGTCCTGGTTTGGGAGACGGGTTGCACATTAACCAAATAAGTCAATAAAGAATGGGTTTTGTGTATCCTTGCCTGTTTTCTGGAGGTTTCCTGGGTTTTCTTGGCAAGAGTTGTTCAGAGGAGGCTTGCCATGACCTTCCTCTGAGGGTGAGAGAGTGTGACTTGCCCAAACATATTCCCATGGCTGAGCAGGGATTCAAACCTTGGTCTCCACCATTTTAGTCCAACACTCAAACCACTTCACCACGTTGACTTTCAGGGTTGCCAAATCTCAAAACCTGGCCCGAGTCTCCAGTTTTGGAAGGTCTTCTCCAGACAGGAGATGAAAGTGCAAATTCTCCCGTTTTGGAGGGGCTCAACCCCAGACAAGAGGAATGGGTTGGGTGCAAGTCTCCAGTTTAGCTGGGAGATTACTGGCTTGCTATAATTTGCAAGGATTAATTCATTTGTTGCTGAAATATGCAAAGACTCTTTGGGACGGAGGTCAATGTATTTACTTGGCTTCCTCCTTCCTTCCCAGTTGCAGGGATGCCAGGGCTCACCCTCTGCTCTGCTCTGCATCCATTTTCTGGCTAGAAACAAGTAGGCTATGGCTGCATCCGCACTACATCGTTAATGCTGTTTGGCACCACTTTAACTGCCACGCCTCCATGCTATGCAATTATGGGGTTTGTAGTTTGGTGAGACCTTTAGCCTTCTCTGTCTGCTCTGTCACGACAAACTACAGATCCTAGAATTGCTTAGGATGGACCCCTGGCAGTTAAAATGGAGTCAAAATGCATAATTTTTGCAGTGCAGATGCAGCCGTAGATTCAGTCTTCTTCATCAGATTCAGTCTACAAAAGCTTCTGCTACAATTTTTTTTCTCTCCGTTGGACCTGATCCCTTTGCTTTATTAATATGATAATGGCTACAGTACAGACTATTAAATAAATTGACCAGGATATTGACTGTCCCATTTATTACGGAGCATTTTTACTTCCTTATCCTGTACTATTCTAAATAGTCACTGCTGAATTTTGGCTGGAATTCTCAATTCTCCCCAGAATTTTTCATTTAATTATTTTGAAACAGCATCACAATTTGCAGCCAGACTTCAGCTGTGAACTATTTAAAATAGTACAGGATAAGGAAGTAAATGCTTTTGAAATGATTCAGTGTACACAGACTTAGAGTTACATGCACAAAGTTCTTTAAAATATTATGTATAAAATGACCTTCAGGTTATATGTATAAGGAGAGCCAGCGTGGAGAAGTGGTTTGAGCATTGGATTACGATTCTGGAGGCCAGGGTTCAAATCCCAGCTCAGCCATAAAACCCACTGGATGAACTTGAGCAAGTCACACTCTCTCAGCCTCAGGGGAAGGCGATGGCAAACCTCCTTGGAGCAAATTTTGCCAAGAAAATCCCATGATAGTCTTGCCTTGGGATCACCATGAGTTGGGAAAAACTTGAAGGCACACAACACACGTGTATAAGGTGTAGATGAAACATAAAGGAATTTAATATTTAGACTTGGGTTCTCTCTACAAGGTATTTAATTATTTATACGCCAATATTCCAAAATCCAAAATCCAAAACGCTTCTGGTCCCAAGCGTTTCAGATAAGGGAGACCCAGCTTGTAGCACCAGTCCATTGAATAAAAGTCCCAATCGGTTGCCAATTGTGTTACCTGCTATTTAGTCAAGTCCAACTTATGGCATCCCTATGAATGAGAGGTCTTGCAAAGTCTTGCAAAGTCACCATGACCAAAATGTGATCCGAATAATAAGATCTTTGCCTGCTGCTGGGGGACACAACAGGGAACAGGGACGCCTAAAATCCAGTGGAAGCGAGTTCCAGAGTCCTCGGAAAGAGCTGCAGAGAAAGCCCATTGCTATCAGTTCTGCACAATAAATGCTCTGTTTATTTCCTCTGCATTGGCTTCTCTTGCAATGGCTTTTGAAGCAGAGGAGCCTAGCTGACCGCCGTGTCAACATTTCCCTTTTTTAAAAGAAACCACCATCGCCAATAAAAAGAACATTAAACGTTGCAGATCTAGTACTTATTCTGGCTGTTGTTTTTAAGTGAACTGAGAGGTTTCACTTCCCATGGTGTATGAGCGCACTATGTTTCTCCATTTGATGCCTGGGGTGCAAACAGGTCCCGCGGGTTCTGGAGGCCACAGAGAAACCTGCTGCACACATTGCTTTGCCACGAATAAAGAAGATGAGAGCCTAGGCACGTCACACTCTCTCAGCCTCTGGGGAAGGCCATGGCAAACCTCCTCTAAGCAAATCCTGCCAAGAAAATGCCAGGATAGGTTCCTCTTAGGGTCGCCATAAGTCAGAAACAACTCGAAGGCACACAACAACAACGGCAAGCATGAGTTCACCATGCCACAAACTATGGCAAACTGTTCCCCCTTCTAGGAAAAAAAATGTCAGTAATAATCTATTTCCGTCAAGAAATGTCTCTTTTCCTTTTTGCATTAAATATTTATTAAACATGTATAGACATACACTGGAAAAGAGATGGCTCTTTTCAAAGTTTTGCATGTCTTTTAAATTATTTTATAGCCAGGATGGTGCAGTGGTTTGAGTGCTGGATTATGACTCTGGGGGACCAGGGTTCAAATTCTTGCTTGGCCATGGAAACTCACTGGGTGAACTTGGGCAAATCACACTCTCTCAGCCTCAGAGGATGGCAATGGCAAAAAAAAGCAGTTTGCCAAGAAAACCCCATGATAGAGTCGCCATAGGTTTGCAAGTCACATTCTCTCAGCCTCAGAGGATGGCAAAGGCAACCCCTCCCCGAAGCAAGTTGCCAAGAAAACCCCATGATAGGGTCACCATGTTTGCGAGTCACACTCTCTCAGCCTCAAAGGATGGCAATAACCACCACCACCCCAGAAACATGCCAAGAAAACCTTGTCTTAGAATCTCCATAAATCAGAAATGACTTGAAGGCACACAACAACAATACTGTCTGATGTGGTGGTTTTAATTGGTTTTTTAAAAATATTTATTGTGAAGGTTTTTAATTTATTCTTTCTGGGAGCTGCCTTGGGAGAAAGGCAGCATAGAAATTAAATATATAAATAAAATAAGAACAGGGATCTTTACGTGTCTCTCATTTATGTGCATGTTCTGTTTTGTGGCCAAAAACAACTTGTGCTCCACCTGATCTGCCATCCTCATAGCCCAAATTTGGGAAGTAACTTTGTTGGATTAACTCAGTTCTGATGGATTCTGGGATTTATAGTTCAACAAGTAACTATTCCAGGCTTGTGTCTAGCCTGGCATCTGATTCTCCCCAGAAGCAGTTTAGAAGTAGGGCTGGAAGAAGGGATGAATCAGAGAGTCATAAATCCTAGGCTGCATCTACACTTCAGACTTCATGCAGTTTGACACCACTTTAACTCCCATGGCTCCATGCTATGGACTCTTGGGATGTGTAGTGGAACCAGAGCTTTCTGACAGAGAAGGCTAAATGTCTTGCAAAACTAGAAATCTCAGGATTCCATCGCATGGAGCCATGGCAGCTAAAGTGGTGTCAAAATTGGATTATTTCTGCAGTGCGGATGCAGCCTAGGTCAAAAAGAAGGAATCATCCCCTCATTTCATCTTGATCTGGGAACAGCCCCTTTAGCTACACTTTCTGTCCTCATTTCCAAAGGTTGTGTGTTTGTGTGTCTGAATGACAAACAGTGAGCAATTATGGTTGGGACTTAATTTTGTTGTGTGCCTTCAAGTCATTTCCATCGAATGGTGACCCTACCATGGAGTTTTCTTGGCAAGATTTGTTCAGATGAGGTTTGCCCATGTCTTCCCTGAGGCTGAGAGAGTGTGACTTGCCCATGTGGGTTTCATGGATGAGCCAGGATTCGAATCCTGGTCTCCAATGGACAGAGTTCAACCCACTAGGATACCAAAAAGTGGCCATACAATAAGAAATGTCTTTATATTCCCAGGCCAGATGTATTATTTTAGTTACAAAAGTCTACATTTGCTGGGGTTAAGGATGCAGGACCCCTGTGAAAGTGGGAAAGCCACAAATAAAAAAACAATATTTTTTTTTCAACCAGAGAGAACACCTCTCTAGGCATTTGTCGGTCCTCCAGTGCAACTCTATGGTCAATATCTGATGGAAGCTAAGCATAGAATGGTGCTGGAGGACCTAAAAATGCCTAGAGAGGTGTTCTCTTTAGGAATTTCTCCAGCACAACGTCTGGTGAAAGTTGATCACAGAGACGCACTGCAGGACCTAGAGGTCCCTAGAGAGAACCTAATAACCAAATCCGCAAATGATCAAATCCGTAAATACGAAAGATCGATTGTACTTGTTTGTAAAAGTTTACAACTGAGCAACAGCATGCCAAATGGAAATGGAAAATTGCAAGCAACTAACATTGGACAGGAGTGATTGTTATCCATTATTGTAACCTATATTGTGGTCTAGTGGCTTGACTGCTGGACTAGGACACTGGAGACCAGGGTTCAAATCTTGGCTTGGCC